CACCGAATCTGATGGAGTAGGAACCACCTAACCCTTAGACTAAAACAAGTTAAAACCTAACACAAAACAAACGTTATTTTTTCCACGGCCAAAGCGCGGCAACGGAAGCAGCCGCTGAGCTAACTAGGCTAGCAGCTGTCGCGGGCTCGTCTGCCTTCCGGCTGGCTTCTGGTGATGTAGAGTGCAACAAAGACCCTTGGTGAGTGGAAGCATCTGTCGTGTGAACCAAGTTCGTAGATAGGTTTTCCCATTCGGCGTCCGATTCGCTGTTTGCTTCTTCCGAAGCCGGGTCAGTTTGATCACTGGCATCGCTGCCATCGTTTTCGTTGCTAATCGATATCAGCTCGGGATGACACTCAAATGGGCCTCCCCTAAGAAAAGAAGAGCAAGTTACTGATATTTTAGGCCGAACAATCGTTAATAAGTGGTTGATACTTTAGCAGCCCCTCTTAGTCCGTCGAGCGTGACGCGAAACAAAGCGCGAGAGGAGACATAGCCGCTTTCTCCCCTTCGCGCGACCATTTTTCCTCTCGTGCGTACTCTCGCATCACAATTGATGGACTGAAAAGAAAAATATATGGAAAAAAAAGCCAGCGGCTGCTCGCAAACCATTACTGTGCAGCCACCTAGAAGAAAATTAACCAACCAAAACGTAAACTGAGAACAATTGACTGGCAGCTATTCGTGACGGCAGGTAACGGTCTGTTTGACGAGAAAGCATAAACATGATCGACTCCCCTGCGTTACTCTGAGAGATTCAGTCCTTGACGGCGAATTACCATGATTATAAATCTCGCTCGAAAAATTTTGCGCCTCAAAGACGAACTACACCGAACCCGTTGCAAAACATACAAAATTTATTCAATTTAGGATCGAAACTGACAAATCAACAAATGGCAAAGTTTCCTGAGAGGTCAGTAACGCTTCGCACTCTGCTGGGTTTTCAATTTTGTTAAGATCTATTGCTCGTATTCTTCAATGTTATTGCTTCATTTGAGAAAAAGATCGCTATCCTTTGTTCTCAAGTAACATTCTGATTGGTTAACCCTTTTCCAAGTGCCCCGGTTCGAGCAGTCGCACTGTACGGCACCGGTGTGATCTTAACTTAAATCTTGATACTTTCAGGAGAATTCGATATTTATCAATCTCTCTTACCGTCCAAGATGAAGAGAATTCACACAAGTGTACAGGTTGTGTAATGTTCTTCTGGGACGAAGCAGTGACGGTTCCACATGCTAAAAAAACGATCGACCATGCTGATTACAATGAAATTAGTGCGCGAAATAAGTTAATAATGCAGAATTTTGGTGCAAGGAATACGGGATTCATGAAAGAACGTTGCTCGTTTAATGGAATGGCAAACCTCCGATTGAAATCCAGTCTCGTTCCCATGAGGTTTCAAACTGGAAACGAGGTTGACTGAAATCCCGGCGGTGTTTTTCCCGCGCTTTTGAAAACCCAGGGCCAAAAGCGCGGGAAAACCCCTCGGCAGCAGCGTTTTCAGCCAGAGCTCCCAGGCCCCAGGCTTCGCAGCTGTCTTTGCACAAGGTAAGCTTTTCCCTTTGTGGCTCGGTTGCGTAATTTGGGCCAAAAGGTTCCGTTATTTCCTCTCTAACTACACAAAAATAATGAAACGATGTTTTTCCTCACCTGGGTGAAACATAAGTGTAACACGTTCGCGTTTAATCGATCTACAGCGCTTCTAAAGTCTCTTTTACTGAGATCGTATTGACAAAATTCACTGCAAAGGAAAAACATCAAATGCTGTAAATTTACTACCCATAACGTGACGTTCATAACGCAAAGCACTAAAAATGATTTCCCGGCGACTATGATCAGAATTTCCGAATTTCCCTAACTGACACTTAAAATTCCATGACTTTTCTATGGCCTTACTGGCGAGCTATATCCTAGAGAAAGGGCTTTTATTTACAAAACTGTTCACAATACCTGTAGTTTATTCTTTTCGGTAAATTCACGTCCAAGTAATACGCCATGAGTTCGACCATTTGACAAGCGTGTGTTAGAGCGGCCGTCATCATAAAGGCCGGATTTTTCACCGAGATTTCTTCATCCGATGCTACAAGAATAAAAGTTCAAAATCACAGTGAGATCAAAGTGTCCCGCCCAAAATTTGCCGGTTGTTGGGAAAAACTGCGGCCTCGAGCAATACTCAAGACCGAGGGCACAGGTTTTCCCAATACGGACCGACCAAGACCGGCAAATAACGTGTTTATGTTTTTTCCTCTACAGTATTGCTTTGAAAGCAACTTTTGTGATGAATTTTAATTCAATCTGTTCAGTTCAAATCTGGCGTGCGTTTGACATTTCGGGCACAAAAAGCGATAACGACTGTTTGCATAATTGTTCGGATTCTGTGTTGAATGTTTACATTTTACGTTGTTTTACGTTGTATCAACACAAAGCTTGAAACGTTGCCAAAGTTCGAAATTTCGTAGCGGTCCGTACTCGGGGTCTGGATGGAAAAAACCCCAAACCGCTGGAGAGCGCGCGATTAGCCAATCTGATTCAAGGAATTAGGATTCTGGACCGCGCGCTGAGAAGCTGGAGAAAAAAAAACGTATATGTTATTTGCTGGCTAGGAGGCAGCCCTTGGGCAACATTTTCAAGATTTTCACTACACGTACTGACCCTAAGCCGTTACATAACATATTTATATTTATTTATATTTATTTATATTTTCTTCTCTCCCAAAACATAAATTTCTTGTAATTGTTAACCTTTTCCACACACACATCGCGCGCGCGTTACCGTGACCGTGGTGAGAGACAGGAAAATCAGGACCGCGTTAAGAACCAATCAGATTGCAGGATTCGCTACCGTGCCCCCTTGGAAAAAATAAAACGCAGTATCGAACCAACGCTAAAGAGGATTATTATACGACTAGCTCAGTGAGCGAGCAAGATGAATCAAGTCCTGCGCTGTGATTGGCTACCCGAGCGCGCAAGATGGAGGTATCTTGCCCGCTC